TCCAAGCTCCTCCAACTGGCGTCTTCGCCTCTCCTCCACCGCGTACCTCATCGCCGATGGCCAAATTTGACCTGCACATTCATGTTGCGCCAGCAGTAGCCTTGCGCGCCTTTTGACTTGGTTCACCTCAGCCTCTACATGGCCGTTGGCAGCAGGGTCATCTCCTCCAGTGGACGTTTGTACAATCCCCCATCGACTGCACCATGCCTCCACCTGTTTGCTGATGAGCTCCTTCGCCCTGTCGGTGTGCAAGCGGTTCACCGCCACCCCCATGGCCTTATACTTGGTGATCAACTTCTGCAGGCCGACAATCACCTCAGCCTTGGCCCGGGATTCCAGCACCTCCATGCAGGTCACGTGCTTCAGAGGAACTCCACGTTGACACTTTTGGAGCTCCGCCTCAAAGTCATAGTCATGGGCTGGATCCATGATGTCCTGTTCCTCCTCCATCACCCCCACATCCTCCCCCGGTTCTGGTGCCACCACCTGTTCCGGCGTAGAGTCCTCCTTGGGTGTAGGAACCTTTTCATCACGTTGATCCTCCGCCCCATCCTTCGCCGCGACGTCCTTCTCCGCCACGTCCTTCTCCACCACGGTTTCCTCCGCAACGTCCTTCTCCGCCACATCATCCTCCGCCACCGCGTTGAAGTCCGGGACCAATGCCACCGCGATCATAGCATAGCGAACAACCCGCCCTGAAGCGCCATCCCTTGTCATAGATAGCGGGCCCACGATGTCCACCGCCACTGACCACACCGATGACATTCTTTGGGTGTCCCCTCGACGTCGATGCGGCTTTTGGGTTCCTGCCTGCTCAATGCAAAGCCTGCAGTCCCTGCGAAAGGGTCGATGTCCTTGGCGAAAGTGTGTCGCCCACATATCCTTTTCCTTTTGCGATAGCTTGGCTATCTTTCGTTGTTGTGCTGCACCCTGCTCCAACATGCATCGGAGGGACTCCTTAATCGCAGCTCTCAATCCCGGAGCCCACAACGACCAGGACTTTGATGCCTGAATGCTGGCTTGTATGTCATCAGGAAGGGGTTCATCATCACCTCGTGCTCGAAGTCCATGTAGTTCCATCATCCCCGGCATGTTGGTGAGCAGCGATGTCGGTTTCTTTTTGGAATGCCCCACGGCACCCTGATCTAGACGAGTGACCATCCCCATGGACTCCTCCTCCAACAAACCCAAAACTTCCGGCCAACTCCAGAAAGACAGCATTCGTCCACCATCCCCCACCATCTTGGCCGGGTCCGCTGGAGACTCCAACAGGAAGCCCGTAGTTCCTTTTGGTCCACCCACCTCCACCTTGGCTTCTTCCGTGGCCAGATAGAGTCCAACCTGCTTGATGACGAGGGCCGCGTCGTGGTCCGCCAAACGCTGCTCTGCAACGCTGAGATTCGGTAACCCGAAGCGATGTGCTCCTCGATCTCGCAGTGGCCTTGGGCCTGGTCGCCTGAATCGCAGCCTCGACACTGTTCGGCATGGGGGTCCACCTATGATGGCTGCCAAAGTTCCTTGTCTGGCCAGGCGCATCAAGAAAGCCCACAACACCGGGTTGTGCAGGTCCTGCGACTTGTTGTGCATGATGTCCAAGGTGATGACCTCGCAGTCATACTTTTTGAGCTCCTCCCACTCGTCGGCCTTTTCCCCCGCGAAGAGATGAAGCACCACACGTTTAGCCGCCAGCAGCCGTCGTCGCTGCCGTCGATTCCATGGAAGAGCACCACCACCAAAATCATGCTCCTCCGTCATGTACCGGAAAATCCTGGCAGGAACCTCGGGGAAGCGTTGGCTCCACCACGTCAGCAGCTCCTCCTCTAAGTTCTCCTCCCGGTAAACATCATCATGTTTTTTCCTCTCCACCTCCTCGATCTCCCGGATGAGCAGCAGGGCATCTTCCTCCAGCACCACGGGACAACCTTCACGAAGGCGGGAAACGATCTTCCCCTTGCGGGGGTGCTCCACAGCACAACCACTCCTGGACCACACCATCTTGTAGCCCAGCTCAATCAACCCTCGGACCGGCACGATGGGCTCCACCGCGTCGGCCGACAACAACGTACCCGTCACCGGGTCTTGGTGCAGCATGATTGAGCCATGTGCCAACTCCACATGAACCCTCTCAGACTTTTCCAGTTCACCAGGTAGAGCTTGACGAAGGGGGTGAGTTGCACCACCATCCAAAAGCCCCAATGCGGTGCCCGCGTCCAAGTTGCCACCCCCGTCCATGAACTTGAGCTTGATGGCCTTGACCTTGGCACTCCGCAATGACTTCAACAAAGCCGATGCCTCCCCCATCAAGGTGTCGATGGAGTCCGACTTGTTCGGCATGGGACCCCCTGCAACTCCGGAACCGGCTTCCGCCTCAGTCTTTTTCCCCGAAGCTCCAGTGGCCTCTTCAACCTTCACCTTGAGTGGCTCTCTTTCCGGCGAAGAAGGCTGTGAGTCCTCCCCCAGCATCTTAGCCACCTTCACATTCTCCTCCTTCCCGAACTCCTTCTTCACATACGGACAGTCACGCCGAGTGTGGTTGAGGCCGGAACAGAAGAAGCACCGATTTTCCTTTGGGCTAAGGAGACCATGCTTGAACTTGCATCGATCCCCTCTTCGACAGCCCTTGTCCGACAACCAAAAGCGACAGTCGCCCTTGGACTCCACCCCAGCGGCCTTGGACTCCTGCGCATTTCCCGTCGCCGAAGTCGCCGTCGTTGATGAAGCCCCCAAGGCTGCTGCCTTCACAAATGGAACGGTCGTTTTTCCCGCTCCCCCAATTCCTCCAGCGCCCAACGCCTGCTCTTCGGTCTCAGCCTGCAGCAGCTCCGCGAAGGTTTTGATGGAGTCCAAGTTGGGTCTTGTATCAATTTGCAACTGTTGCCTGCACACCGACAACCGGTATGCAGCTTGCGCACCAGACTTGGCAATGCGTCCGAAGCCCGAGTCAAAACACCTGCCAAGATGACAGGGTCTGGCAACATCACCGCCAACTCTTGAGCCCGATTCCACCATCTCCGCCATTGACGCAGGTTCTGCGCCAGTTCAACCATAGAGCCCGTAGTTTTGAGCTCCGTCAAAAACCGGATGAGAGTGACCCTCTCACCTTGTCCGCCAGGTTGAAACTTGACGAACAGCGTGAACAACAAATGGGTCACGCTCAGCTTCCTCGCAGCCACAGCCTCCGCCTTGATGTTGTCGGGGACCGCCTGCAACACCAAACTGGTCATCCTCCTTTCGGTCCTAGGCCACCTTGTAGCCGCCGATGAAGTGCCAGTGTCCAACCGAAGACGTTGAAGAGGATCCGAAGCCAACCATTGGGTATACAGCTCATCAACACCCTTCAATGTCACAGCCCACCATTCCTCCGCCGACACACTCACGTCCGCGATCAAAGGCTGGATCGTGGCTAACCAATCACCGAAGGACAGTGCATTGGCGTCCGAAGGAAGTGGAGGTAGATCCACACTGCGAAAGGTCTCATTGACCGATTCCTCACTGCCCCCATACATAGGAGCACCACCAACCAGGCCAGGTCCATAGTTTCCGCCACCTCCACCACCATTGGGCGGTAGCCCGATAGCACCCCATCCACCTGGTCCAAGCTGAATTCCAGGGGGATATGGCCAAGGGAAACATACTCCAGGTCCGGTTCCTTGAACGGGTCCAGGTCCAGGAAGATTGCCTCCAGGAACAGGAACACCACCACTTGTCGTCATAGTTGAGGATGAAGCCACCTGTGTTCCAGTCCCCGAAGGCTGCCGTGGTCCCCCGGTTTCCGGCACCTGCTGCTTCCCATCCCCTTGTGTTGCGCCTCCATTCTCCGCAGCCGTCTTGAACGAAGCATCGGAAGGCGGATTGCCTCCTCCCAGCAGCTGTCGAACACCATCAGCAAAACGCTGTTCGGCATCACGAAGAACTCGTTGGCGAAGAAGTTCAACGGTTTCTCCCGCCTCTTGGCTTTGGCTCTGCGGGAGATTCATCGTCTGCTTAATCTTCTCAGCAGACCAAGGATTGATAGGCGATTGTTGCCTCGACATGGCACCAGCCACCCCCAGTTCACGTCCAGGTAGTTCACCAGCGGGTTCATGTGCACGACCGGGTCGAAGAGCATGTCCAGGCTGATGTTCCTCTCGTTGGCGTTCTCGATCTCCCGGAGATAGTTCCAGCCTTGAAGCTGAAGCCCCTTCCGCCAACTCCCCTCCCTCACGTTCACGACGTCCCGGGAGGATAGGCATCTGCCCCACATCATCTGCTCGTCCCCCTGGATGGAAGACCACCGGATATCCCTGGGGATACGGTCCCTGGAGCATTGGCCATCCAGGAATCTGCTCTCGCGTCAAGGCTTGAGCTGCATCCACCAGTCCAGATTGTCCACCACCAAGAAGAGCTCCGCCAGGTAGAGGAGGGAGTAGTCCAGCCAGCATCGTTCCTGGAGGGGGTTCCTGTCGTGGTTGACCACCATCCATGATCGCCGCCCTGGGCTCCGTGTTCGCTCCAGCTGGGGTCTTGTCAGTCACCGTCTGTCTCGTGCTCTTCACCAAGGCCGGTCGCCTTGCACTAGGCTCCGCACTTTGGGTGCGACGTGCTGGAGTCTGCTGTGCTAAGAGTTCATCGAGCCTCTCGTCCGCGGTCTGCTGCCGCTCTTTCGATGAGGATCGCCGCCTTGCCATCAACGATGTCATGGCGTCACCGCTTTGGGCTCATAACCCATGCTTCACGAAAAGCGGTCTTTGTTTTCTTGAGCCAAACACGCAGGCGTTTCGGCCTGTGGTCTTGTGTACCTAGTTGTACACTTCTCGTTTTGTGCGTCCTGTTTCAAGATCCGCAAATATAAATAGACTCTAGACCTGGAAAAAAAAGACAGAATCGTGCAGTTTCAAAGAACCATGGTTTCAACCTCCGGCAGATTGCTCTCTGGTCCCCACTCGGTGAAAACGTCTGTCAAGCCGCTGCCCCGGTGCCGCCGATCTGCGCAGCTCGACGGCACCGCCAAGGCCGTGAGTTCACAAGTCAGATCCCTTCACGATCTGATCCTGAAAGTGTACCATCCTGACAGGACATGTACATCACCAGGAGCACCTCTTCTGTTTACCAATAAACGCTATCGGAGTATCCCGGTATCACAAGAACAGGATTATATATATATATATTTATAACTATGTATAAACCCTTTCTGGTCATGAAAGTCCCGGTATCACGATGTTGACCTACCACCGATCTTCGGCGCGACGTGAATCAGTCTCTTCTTCGCTAAGGGAAAAACCATTATGACACTCTTTCAGCTGCTTGGAGAAATTGGGTTGCGGATCCCGCGCAAGCCTCAAGCTCTTCTCATTCAGCTGCAGGTACTTCACCATCTCCTAAAAGAGAAGATGGTAAGGGAAAAACAATGACTTGAGAAGAACAGAAAAAAATCAGCATTCCTGGACTACTCCATCCCCACCCACTTTCTTCACCCGGCGTGGAGGATTTGTGGATGAAGATCCAGGAATTGGTGGAATCGAATCGACTACCTCCTTGCCCGATTGTAGAAGGACAAGCTATGAATCACCCCGCACCACCCGAAACACCCAGCATTGAGTTTCCTCAAGGGCGCCACAGGCATGGCCACAAGCACCTATCGAAAATTGACTGAATGGGATATGGAGGTGGTTCCACAATCCACAACATGTTTGTGGCAACCAGCACTGTTGGACAGTTGCAGGTCGACGGCCGACAGTTTCACCACATGTCGCAGCGGGTGACAGCCTCGGACCTATTGACATTCACGACGGCGGCTGACGAGGACCTGGCACCCATACCACTCATACTGGCTTCAAACAACTTGGGGCCTCAATGGCTTTGCGAATCCTGTAGCCTCCAATCAACCATTGACTCAGTGACTCAATCATTCATCTGCAGCAAGGATACCATCCCACACTCAGCCTTGAAGGCAAGAACCGACGCCAGCCGCGTTCCCAACAACGCCTCTCGCCTTCACGTAGCCCGACGCCTGCTGTCGGGTGAGCGCGACCATATACAGGTGCTGGACGTTGGGGCAACACATGAGCGCTTTCGCGCCAGCTGGCGTGTTGATGCCGGCGAAGTGGATGAAGATGACCCGCAAGATCTGGGGCACGACGGGTGGGAGATGCCCAGCAGGAGCCAAAGAAGGAAAGGGTGAGGCCGCCAGGCCGGTGAGGATTCCAAGTGCGAGAACACTTCATGGATGCGTCTTGCATGTGAGATTGTATCGAACTGGGAAATTGATTAACGATGTGCATTGGCATCTACGTGGGGACGGTGCCATCTCCACATTAATTTTTAGCCCATGCGTGAAGAACTTTATATATACAGTAATAAGTTTACCTTGTTTCCTATTCAGAGAGCTCCTGAATTTCCCCTTTTGTGTGAACCATGCCCTGCAGTTCGCACAAGCGTTGCGCGCGACGGGATATCTACACTGAGATCTACAATTCCCGCAATCATCAACGCAATAATCAAACAAGATAAACAAGTGGTTTTCCAATGTTTTCTTTTAGGGAGTGCAACCTTGGCAATCTGACAGCTCTGAGCTCGCGTTGCGCCACTGCAGCTCACCTCACCTGCTGCCCACGCTCGGGCTCGAGGTCCGGCTCCGAGTCGAAGAAGACCACGTGATCTGCGTCCATCCGGCGCGTGGTCGTCTCACACCCCAGTCGTTCACCCTTGGGGACTCGCTTCCAGTCGAAGACCAACGGGTGGATTTCGGGTGGCCCCTTCTCGCCCTTCGGGTTCACCGACGCTGGTCCGTCTGGCTGCGTTCCTCGCCAACCGACGCAGCGGCGTCGGCCCGGTCTGACCGCCTGTGTCAAGGATCGGCAGCAGCTCCGCGGGGATCTGCCGAGACCCAGGCGGGCGGGCAGCGGTGGTGCCAGTGGTGCCCAGGCTCCAAATCCTGCGCGTCGAAACACAACGAGCGGACATAAAACGTGAGTCAGCCCCGGATGAGATATTCAGATATTCATACCCTATACAGGTCCAAAGACCCAGTACAACCTGGTCCCTGACTTCATTGAGTAAGAGTTTGTGTATGAATGATCTCGCAGGGTATAGATATTCCTTGCTTTGGGACGTCATGTCTAAGTCGTTTGGTCTCCTGCAACCCCCATCGCTCCCACCTGGCCTCTGCCGTGGCGCCGGGAGGAACTCTGACCGGTGGCCATCATAGCTCCCCATGGCTCCCGGTGCCACCGCGGACCGGCTCGGTCCTCGCTCCGTGAGCGAAACTCGGTGGAGAGAGACAAGTGGATGTGGTGGGCCTATGGAAGTGCTGGTCTTTCTTCTTGGGTTGTCTTTTTCTGTCAATCTCTCTTGCGTTGTGGCCGGAGATGGCTAAGAAGGCTTCATTAAGGGTTGGCTCTCCTGGATGATGCACCATTGCTGGCTAGTCATTATGGCACGGTCCTTGCAGATCTTTTGACCGATGCTGAGCCCAAGCTGTGAAGAAGTGCTTCGCCAAAAAGAGCGGTCATCAAGCTGATCATGGTCATAAGTCATGAGGAGTCTCCCTGTAGGTGTTCCCTTAAATCAGTCAGTTCAATTTTGACAAAAAAAGAATATGTGTATGTACACTGGCCTAAAAGATCCTACAAGTACTATATATGTCGAAGACCTCGGCCAGGTTGTCCACAAACCTGAATCCCACTTTCATGGTCACTGTGGCCAACTGTTTGCACATGCCAAAAGATCCAAAATCGAAACCAAATGGCCCCAAAAAAGCAGTCACCGTGTCGTTCGCTCCGCCGTGTCAAACGGGAATTGGTCAGAACCGAGGCCAGTCCCTTACAGGACCACATTTCAATTGGTCATGCAATTGGAATTAGCTCCGTGGTAGAATGATGGACAAATGAGAGTGCGTCTCTCTCCGTGGCGAATGGGTACAGGGGCAAGAAAAAAGAGGTGCCAAAGAAACCGCGAGCTGTGCACCAATGAGTGGAGCAATGCATGGAAAGGATTGGAAAGGCTGCACCAATGAGCCATTTCATGGAGTTGCATGAGTTTCATGGAGTTGCTACCGTAAAACCTGTACCAAACAGTGCCCAACCCAACATATCAGCACCGATCCCACTGTCATCTCTGCCTCCAGGCAGCATGCCTCCTCTTTTTCAGTTCGCAGGATTTCCATCGCCTTCGGCTTTTCCACCTGCTTGTCCCCCTGCTGGTCTACCTGCCGTGGCTTCATTGACCATCAGCGTGTCACATCCATTGGCACATGGAAAAGGATCTCTGCGCCCTGGTTCAGAGCTGGACATTGTATATTAATGTTTCTTATTGATAAATATAGGTGCTCAGGCGAAAAGGTGTGGGTGAGTGTGATTAGGATAAGTCCTGGAACCTTGATTCCGATTGGACAAGTCAAAGCTGTACACTGTTCATGGTTGAATCTGGAGTTCCCAGCGGCTAGGCTGTGTGTGTCTCAAACCAGGAAAAAGTGGGGCGTTTCGTTCTTCCCCGACGTCATCCACTTGGACCCATCACCAAGCTGGAAGGCCTGTAGCATCGAGCTCCAGGGTGAATGTGATTCGAGCCGGAGCTTTTAAGAGTGCGACCCAGCAAGATGGAATAGAACCAGGACCAACAGTTGGTGTGGTGAATAGACACCCATTATATAACCTGCGTGGACTCATAGACACCCCAGATGCCTGCAACATCTGGAGACTCGAAGAAATTCTCATCTGCGCCCATTCTGACGATGAAACTTTGGGATCATCTTCACACATTCCGCTCGGATTGGCGGAAGTTGGAAGATGGTGGAAGTGGAGGTACCACGACATCTGGCCCGATCAACTGCCGGGCCATGGCTCTAAAAAAAGTAAAAGAATCGTGAAAACATGGTCCCTACCATAGACCCCTGTCCACATGCCTTGGAATAATAAATCATATTACTACTATTCCAAACCCATTCCACATCGATCTGGCAAATGATTCCAACCTGGTCACCCACAAACTCTGACAGGAGCATATGTCACACTGTCAAAATCCAACATAGAAGGGGACAATGAGCCCCATATGGCCCCCTGGAAAGTGCATGTTCCATATTTCCTCTACAAAACGAATTAGGAGGTGAACTCCACGTTCATGTTTGTTGGAGGAAGAGTACCACCTCAGCTAATGTCACATTCTCCCTCCATCGATCTGCAGAAGCCCTCCGGGTGCAGGTTTTCGGCTCGTGCAGAAGCCCGGCTCCGCTCTTTTTGATGGCGCAGGTGCCGCGAAAATTCACGACTGCGGAAGCTTCTTGAGGGCGTTGTAGATCAAGGCCTGGGCTTGGCCGCGAGGAAGAGGCTTGGAATGGAAGTGGGTTCAGCCACTGGGTTATAAGGAATGCACACTCCCTGAAATATTCATGGAAGTGGATGGCACGGCCCTGAAAGCACGGACCCTTTTCCGAATACCAAGCAGATGGTGTTCCAGGTCCATGATCCTTTCAGGGAGTGCGCAGGGAATGTAAATGGAGGTCAGCCCCAGGTTCGCCCTAAAAGTTGGTCTTCAGCCCACATTAGCTGCCCGAAACCCTTCATGGCCACAGGTTTCGCGCCTCATCCTGTACGATGTGAGCCCCTAGGGTGCCTTGATCAGTGCCAGTGCTGCGCCCTTGCAGCCCATCTTGGACGAAGAGCTGGAACACCTGAGGCGATCCGGGCGATTCCCGAAACCGCTAGAGGGGCGAAGAGGCTTGGAGACGAAGTGGAAGCCCTGCGGGAGAAAAGCACATCTGAGGACTATAACTTGTTAAGTCCCCCCCTTCTGTGCCGATGCCAATGTATTAAGAGGCTGCTCAAAGCGTTGAGCGTCGTGGCGTGGATCCTGGGGCGGAAACATGCGGAAGTTCATGGAGGCCGCAGCAAAAGCTGCAATAGACTCCAATCCACCACTGGGAGAATGCGGAAAACACATGTGCCAAATGATGACAGTCAGGGAACGCGAGACGGACATCGGTGTCAACATATGCTGCAAGGATACAGGAACCAAGAACAAAATGATGTAGATAGCCATCTCTGTCCTTGGTGAAGATTTCAGACGGTTCCTGCAACCGGTCTCGGATCCATTCGGGTGGCTAAAGCCACCGGTACAGGTTTCCAGATTGGACGTTCATGACTCGCTTTCATGAACCAGAGCATATGATTCAACTTGATCTTCATTCACGGCAAGAAAGCACTGGACCATCAGGTCAATCACATGTTTGGGTTTGTTGGTGTGAGCACAGGAGCCATACCTTAGGTGGCTCTTGAATGTCTTGTTGGCACACGAGTCATGCCCGCTACAGAGAGAGAGAGAGAGAGGGTGATGGGCCTTCTAGGTGATAGTTTTGTCTTGTTCTTGTCCTTAAGTGATTAACAACTCCAAAGCAAACCAGATCTCCGCCAAAGCTCACTAGAAGCTACTAGGAACAAGGGCATCACTACTAGTAGCAAGAAGCTACTAGTAGCTAAGGGGTGAACACCTCAGTCTCGCTGCCCGAGCCCGGGCCCCTGGATCTCAATCCAAAGCTGAGAGGCACAAAGAAGAGCGCCGAGCGCTGTTTGATCCGCTGCTGCGCCAAGAACTTGAGCCTCTAGCCGCTCCGGAGACTCAAGAGCCGGTCTTGTCTGGGAAGGCACCTGAACAGTGCTGGTTTACTGGGTGGGTAGAGGTGGCAAATCGGACATTAGAAAGTATGAGTTTTTTGAACACCAAATAAAAATATATATATATATATTATATTGTGTATAATAGATCTCCGGGACAAGGCAGATTCAGCACATCAGGCTTCAGCCGGTGGTCTTTTGTATGGTGCACATCCTACGAACGCTTCGCCCGACGCTTCGCCGTCGCCCGACGCTTTCGTCCAGGGCGCCGCTTCGTCTCGGCCACCGTCCGCCGCTCGGACGAGGAGAAGGATCCCTCCGCCACGTCCCGCTCCGTGGACTCCGCGAGGCGGTGGCACAGCTCTCCGATGCGGTCCTGATTGAAGTCCTGGGGCGGGTGGGAGACCTAGACATCCAAGTGTGGGGGAGTGTGACTCCATCAATCCCTCTGATAATTTGATGAGTGCATAATATGATAAAATCATGAGGGAGGCGGACAACATGGCAGATGACCAGTTTCCCTCTTCCCTGAAATTGGGTTTAAAAATGTGGAGAGATTCCGAGGACAAAAGCTGTACACACGCAATCACAGACCACCACGTCCGAAGGCAGTAGGAAAACCACTATTTGTACATTGGCCTGGGAGCATCAAGACATCCTATTGATTTCTGCAAACACACAAACACCCTTCATCCACTCAAATGGGAACGGCTTGCTTGTGGCACGCGGGCTGTGGCCTTTTAGAGTCGTCTCTGAAAAAATACACATTCATGTTGTTTGTGGCATGTTCATTCATGGACATCGTATCCTGTTACACATATAATAACCATTCATGGCATCGTATTTGTGGCATGCCATTCATGGACATCGTTTCTGACATCAGGATCCTGATATGTTCAAACCTCATGAGTTCAACCCTCAGGATCGGGAGACGGACCATCCGTGTGCAGCCCGCGTGGTGCCGTGGCCGAAAAGAGACATCCTGCTGAGTGAGACCGGCGTTTCCTCATGCAGCCCGTGCGCCCGTGGGGGGCACCAAGTGAACAACTAAATGATCCCAGCTGTTGGTCTCCCACCATTGACTTGAGGGGGAAATCTACCGGAAACATCCGGAAACCATAGTTGTCAGCTCCCAATGCCATAGGTCTCCTGTAGATGTTCCGAACCAATTCTGGGAGGGTCAGGTCGACACGCATCCATCATCCAGATGCAAACATCTAGCAGTTCTCCCAGAGCTTAGGCGCTCTCCAAACAAGCCATGTTGGCAAATCGTGGCGCATTCGGATAGGTAGACCTGCCGGAAGAAGACCCCCGGGAAGGTTCAGAAAATCACATTACAGTGGTTTCAAAGGCTCGATGGCACAGACCTCAAGATGTCCTTCACATGGAGGTTCATGTAAACCACCAAACTTGGGGTAACTTGTGCCATCTGTAACTTGTGCCATGTCCTTTACATGGATGATGTTCTTGTGCCATCTATAAAAAATAACACAAAATAACCAAGCCCAAGGGGTTGGGGTCACCAAGCCAAACATCTTCACAGATCCCTGGACCTCTCCTTGACAGACACGAAAGAGAGCCCACCATCCACCTGGCGACGAGGACCAGGAGAGTTGGACGCCTTCGGGTGTAAGCAGGTCCAGTGACATGTCCCCAAAAGGGTTCCTCTCAAACAGCTTTTTGGATGTTTTTGCTGGGGGAAAATTCACCTTCCAAGTGGGCCTCAAAATCTTTCCAAGTTGGAACCAGAAATATTACAATTTGTTGTTTGCTGATTGACATGTAGACCCATTGAAGGGAAGTACCCAAGTCTGCGTCTTGTATGCCAATAGTTATACCGAAAGTCCGATTCTCCTTCCTCCAGAAATCATTGAACTTCTCTCACGACCCAAAAAAATCTTCTCAAGCGTCTTCCCAAGGACCCCAAAAACTGGCTTGGCGGCTTGGTGCCACCTCATGGAGATGGAAGATGAAGAGAAGTCCCAACGAGTCAAAGCAAATGTCCTTGGGACCTTCAGACATGGTGAACACCAGGACCTCAATCGGCGGCTCACGTGGGTGATGCTGCTCCGCTGCGGAGAGCCGGAGAGGGTGCGGTGGAGGACTTTCTTCCGGTGGCTTGGAGGGGAAGGTCCATGGCACCCGGGGGATCAATCTGGAAGGCAAATGGACATGGAAAGGATCTACGGCATACGGCGAGTTGGAAGCTCCGGGGCCAAAGGGCCAAACCGACTCTCTGGAACCCATGAAAATGCTGACCTCCAAAAGTGCATTCATGTGTATATATAAATACATATATATATATATATGTATACTGTATATATATATATGTGTGTGTGTATTGTTTTTCTCGGAAGGTACTACCACACCCCGTTCCGACCCCCCCACCCGTGCCGCAAAGAACGGCCCACACACGAGCTTACACTGCGGGGGCGCTGACTTCACGCTCGCCAAGGGGCCATATCCACCAATCCCACCAGAATCACATAGCAGATCATTGCGCAATCCAGGAAGAGGCATGTCTGGGACCAGCGGCTCACATAGCTCTCGCGGCTTCCAGTTCCGGCATCACGCGCGTCCTTCTGCCGCCTCAACCTCAGGTGGACGTGCATGAGACTGGAAGGCGCTGCTTCGACGGAACATGGAATACCAGTGGTGGAGCTCGGCTCTAGTTTCTCAAAACCCAAGAAGCCAGTGAGATCAAGAAGCATAAGCCGTGGCCGTCACAGCAAAGCCACCCACTCAAAAAATTCATGGAAGCCCCACACCTTAACTTGCTTGTTGCACAAAACCACCCAAAGCCAATCGTCTGTGAACCTCTTCACCGGCCACCGAGAGTTTGTGTACCGGTGGGTTCTTCCCAGCGGCTCATCGAACAGAGAGGACAGCATCGAATTCTCGGTCGAAGCCTCCCCAAAATGGATCGGCCGGGATCGTGTGACATGACATCCACACTGGAGAGGGTGTGTATAGAGAGAGAGAGGTTCAATATACATATATATATATGTATATATATATATATGTATATATCTTGTGTTTTATGTGTCAAGCCTTGACTAATAAGGAAGTGCAGGTGATGTCACACATGCCACACTTGGTGCTGGCGAATAGGGTAGTTAGTTGGTCGACAAGTTTTTGTTGTAGCTCAGTTTGCAAGTACCGGTAGAAAAATGGGCAAGAAGTGCTTGGGGAAAAAACATTTGCTTTGGTATGCTTGGGTGGAGAGTCCGCCCCATGGACCAAGAAGGATCCATGCCCCATTGATGATTAGAATATTCAAGGGCACCCAGCCTGGTATGGTGAAGATCCTGCCAATGACAAAGGTCATAAAATATCCTTATCAGCCTTATCATATCCTGAATTCGGTGCTTCTGGGGAGTGTGTGAGCTCACAAGTTGATCGACCGCATTCACATCAAATATCATCAAATCACATTGGACATCCAACATCAGTCCTAACATATCCATTCTCCTGCCAGCAACTTGCCGCCAAACATAGGGATTGAGACACTCGAGGTTTTTGGCGAGGTTTGGCTAAAGCAAGATTTGCTCAAGAAACACTAGAGTCTCTAGCTACTGGGCATCCCTCAAATCTTGGTGCCCTTCTTCCCTGCAACTCTTCTACCCATCCCATGGTTCCCTCCTTCTTGATGATGGAGAGGCAGTGGAGGCCGATGCAATAGGTGAAGGCAAATTCCAAGACACGTCCCAAAACGTGAGAACCTCCATAGGTTAAGTCTCCATAAACGTAGTTCACCTCATCACGTGGTGAACAAACGCCATCCAAACAAACGCCAAGACTGCTCGTGGCGGACTGCTCGTGGGGTCGCATCGTTTTCGCATGTCTTTCACACGTTTTCACCAGGTTTCGGCCCTGGTGTACTGACCTGGACGTACGTTCTGGGTGGTTTTCACTGATGCGATGTCGAGGACATCGCACAGGCCTCGTGCCGTCTCCAAGCGGAACAAATGTGTTCCGTATAAGATCTGGGCGGGTTCCCATGTAGCAATCTAAAGGCTTAGGCGGCTTGGGAGTCGGACATGCGCTCATTCAAAGAAAAGGAAGAAAAAATGAGCAAAGATGGGGTTCAAATATCCTCTGGGTGTGAGGACTTCCATCATAGAAACCAGCAAATAGACACTGCTTGACCTTATGCCCATTTGCACAGACCAATGTTTGATGATTCTTGTTGGAAACCGTGGATCTTCTTGGTCTTCTCAGGGTGAACATCCTCATCAGACAATACCCTTCGGCTCTTCCCCCCCAAAAGAAGGGTAGAGCTCCCTGTCGCGTGGATCGAGTCCATCCGACAGCCCCGGTCCGTCCATCCACCGCCCCGCCCAGGTACGAAGTGTATCTCAGTGCCTCGGGCGGAGGAGCCCACCGGAGGTAGGGGTGTGTGTGCCTGAGGAGGAGAAGCCCCAAGCAAACGAAACGGACCAAGCTCCATCGAAGCCGAGTTCTGGGTGGGTTCTGGATGAGCAATCTGAGCTGCGAAGAGACACGCGCCCTCACATCTCTGGACACCGGCAATCTGTTAGAGACGAACACATCATGGAAGTCGATGGCATGGGGGCCCCTGGATGAGCCTTTTCCTTGTTCCATTTCCATGGGAACCACCAGGGCCGAGAACCGAGCTTTTTGGAGAACATGCACCCAGGTGCGACAGGAAGGATGCCCAAGAGCCCATATATATCTTGAGCGGAAAACGCGCCCTGGGGATCCGCCCTAGGTCACGTCCAACGAAACGCGCGAAGGATGGATCCTCCACCTCCTCCGCCACGGAGCTGGACCAATTGTAGCGGTAGAAGCCTTGTCGCAGGATCGCCAGTGGCGCCAGGAGCTGAATGACCAGCACAAACCTGGCGAAGACATGACGGAAGAGGTCATGTCTGAGGCCGGGTAAAAGTGGAAATCCTGGAAGGTCGGCATAGGGCATAGGGTTACTTTAGCGAACGGGCAGAACTAATATGGCAGATATCGGTCGTATCCTGCGGCATCCTGAATTAAGGAACAAAACAACCAAATTCGTCAATCTCATCTCTGTACTTGCACCCATCTCCGTTCCATGAACGTGTCTGCAGGCTTAAAGTGAAACGAGACCTCGCGCCGACATCTTCGACATCCTTTTGGCGGTTTCACCTGGTTTCACCGTGTCACCAGGAGGTTGACCCATCCCTTCCTCCCACCTGAGGCCCAGGTAGTGTAACCAGCTTCGCTTCTTTCCGCCCAACGCCTCGGGCGAGCGAGCCGCACGGCGGCACCGTTGGGGGAGCGCCACGAGTTCCCGCTCCAAAAACACCGGTGCCGACTCGAGGAATGAGGAAATGAACTATAACTATCGGATGAATTTCGATAGCTACCTAGATGAGTCGGCCTGTAGTTCATCGAAATGAAACCCCTTTGTAAATATACCTATCGGATGAATGTCCTGCGTCGCTGGTATCGCGGCCCACATGGTGGCCGAGACTGGGCGGTGCCACCGGGGGGGGTGCGGCGCGTCGTTCGTCGGGTTCGTCAGGTTCGTGCTCATTCATGTGCCACCTCGCGGAGCAGCCAAACCCTCCAACTCTTCGCCGGCCTTGATAGGTCTTGAAAGAGAGTTCGTAGTTAGGTCTTACGTGTTGGGCGTGTCTTCCTTCATGGTTGATGCGGCTTGGATGCCCAGTGATGAAAGTTGAGCTCGATCTTTTGATCCGAACGGCCGGTCTGGTCGGTCTGGTCCGAACGCGTGGCTTTTTTGTGAGCGGCCCAATATCGATAGATGTTGCTCTTGATGGGCGTGAAGGCTTCCGAGTTCGGAGGTGGTGGCAACGCGCTGATCTTCATCGCCAGCGCATGGAGGTTCTTGCTGTCCCTCACCAAGTCGCCTGGAGGTTCGACCGACCGACGAATGCGTTCACTCCTGCTGGTCTGAAGGATCGATTGCAGGATTCAGCGTTGCAGCGTTACTGGTGTTGCTGATGAACTACTATAACTGTAGTAGTACGACTTGGTGTACTTTATAGTACTGTGTATGGCATACTGCTCAATACTGCTCATGTGGTTTCAAGCGTTCAGTGTTGTCCATTCGCTCGGCGCGGTCAAGACTCTGGCAGCCGTGCTCCGCGTTACAACCACACTCCATGACATCATCATGGTTACGTGGATGGCCTGGCCACAGGCGGCCCTTTCGGAAAACAAGTTTCCTCTACAAACAGGTGGTTGTTCGTTCCATTGTTTCAGGGAGTGTGTATATGTATATGTGTGTGTGTGTCCACTTCCACCCTCTGCATGTGTTCACCCGGCCAAAGGAGAAGAAGAAGCATTAGGGAAGCCAGGGGCACAAGAAAGGGTTTTCATCCTCTGGTGCACAGAGGGAACCAATGAAGGTGGGAACGGAACTGGGTAACTTAGTATAGATGTATAATGATTATTATGAGCCGCATGGATGCCAGCAAGCTGACGAATCCACCACCCTCATGTTGTTTAAAAAGTCAGCTATTTAGCGGCAAGGATGTGTACAAATGATGTCATGGCTCCTAGATAAGAAACAGGAAGAGAAAACGATGATGGCCTATGGCGGGCCATTGGTTCATCGAAAAGAGCCAACATCGTGGACCTTGCACGTTGCTCAGGGGCCCCCGAAGACTCCACTCAAAAATGCTTCTGCTCCGCTACGGCTTGGTATCCTTCCGAGTGCACGCTGCTTTCCATGCGCTTGCCATCGCGCCAGAACCACCCAGCAGGAGCCCGTCTCCAATTCTGCCCCGTTGGGCAACTGCGAAGCCAGGGCGCTGAACAAATCCCCTCGTCGCTTCTCATCTCGCTGGCGCATCTCATCTTCTTCGCGTTGCTGGCCCTCTTCAGCATCGAGCCTTGACACGGGGCGATGCCCGGTGTTTTTTTCATCATCCCACACCAATTAATGTTTGGCACTATGTTTGGTCTCGAGACAATCACCGCTCCCCTCACCAAAGGGCACCCCCCCTTTTCATCAGAATCCCGGCTGAAAGCTCGATGTTTCACAAATGCATACCGTCCGGCTGCACATCTGCTTTCTGCCAAAGCTCTGCTGAGCTTGCCCCTCCTGTGACAGGAACCGCAGGTCATCGGTGGGAAAATGGTCTGCAGAAATCGATCGATTGGGCCAGGACCAGCTGCACTTTTCGGGGATCATGGTCTGAGTACGTGCTGGGAGGTGATGTATGCCCTTTCGTGCTCATCCTTGCCACGGGCCCCTTTGACGTCAAGGCCAGCAATCTTAGATGACTTCAAAATCTGCTAGCTCTTGTGATATGTTCAGCTGGTCCATCACCCCTACCAGCTGGTCCAACACTCTCTTTCAACAGAAGTCTCTCCTCTTCGGGTTCATCCAGCTCGTTAGCTGCTCGGCCACTCAGCACACACCTAGGCTCAGAGTTCCATCCTGGTTTACATCTGGAGGAGACGAGATGAAGGATGTTGTTTGAGGTGCAGATGTCAATCAGCCATTCGAAATTCAAAAAGAGCGCAGTCCTCACCAACCAGTGCGTTGAGTCTACTGAGTCTACTGATGGTTCACCCCATATTGACCAATGCCGCACCCTCAAATCCTGTGGGACAAGGTGGGTTATCCTTCACTTCACGCAAGCAATAAGTCCTTTCAGGAGCACTGGACGCATCAGGACACCCAAGCACGACTGGTGCATTGGTCCAATTGGTCCTTTCGGAAGTTCGGAATAACCAGAAATCTTCATGCTACAACTGCTGCCGCATGTTACCGCCCTCGTTTCGGACACCGGCACACCGATGAAGGGAACACCCTTTCGCACCCGTCCCACCTGAGGCTCCCGGCCAAAGAGCGGTGCTAACCTGGGGATACGCGTCAGGTGCCGTGCTTGGGGTGCTTGGGGTGCTTGGTCACAGGAGAAAAACATCTACGGGAAACCATAGTTTTCACCCCCCGAACACTGGGTGTCCTGTAGGTATGTTCCTTTAACATCCTTTAACATCCTTAAACGATCTTAAATCTTAAACCAATTCTCGGACCCCAGGTCCCATGCCATCGCTAAATGTCCCCAAACCTTCTATTAATTTGCTTTTTCTTACAGGCACATGGAACCTTCTTTACGGAAAAAAGCTTACCAGAAAAAGCAAATTAATGAATAAGAAATTAATGTATTACCATGAATTTTTACCCTCATACCCCATTCAACTAGGTTCTCTGCTCAGTCAAAACAGGCCAAGGCTCGATGATCACCAGCACCAGCGCCAACGCTGCTTCATGGAATTGCTTGCTGAACTCACCTCAATTACGTTCTTGCAGTCGTTCTTGCATCCCCTTCCCTGCTCTATCTTGCAGCCCTTCCCAGGCACAACGCTTCGAGATCGCAGAGAGGTGGAGACCTCCAAAGGTCCCCAGAAGAGAACCCATCAAGCCTTCGCCTTGCCACTTCCACTTCCATGGTGCCCAGACGCATTTCCCGGCATAGAGCTGCCGAGCGGTGCGATACTCCAGCTTGTCCTCGAAATCGCCTTGAAGGTGGTGCTCTGAGTCGATGTGGTTCTCGAGTCCGCCAACAATGGATCCAAATGGGTGTGTGTTAAACATTAGGGAAACCTCCCAGTGAAAAACCCCCTGCAAGGTTCGGAAAATAGACCTGTGACCTATCCATCAATTGAATGGATCTCCCTATCACAAGGCACACCCATTGAGGCCCAAATGGCCCATAGTATAGCTCCTGTGTTTGGTGGTTGTTCCTCAAAATGATATACTGGAAGGACTCACAAGAGCTCAAGGTCCAGGGTGCATTTGACTACACCGAGCTGGATATACTCCAACAGGGTAGTCAAATCCGGATAGGCTTCCTTGAAGGCCGGGCAATCACTTGCGCACTGGGAATTTACGTCACTTGCGCACTGGACATCACTTGCGCACTGGGCATCAATCACTTGTGCACTTACCTGCTTCCTAGCTCGGGGGTGGGGCCTACTCCACATGCAACTAATGAGTGGGTTGGGGTGGGGGGTAGGGGGGGGTGGGGGGGTACCATACAGTGTGACTCTGAAGTGCTGAAAAGGTTGCCAGGTTGGACAAGGTCAACATCTTTACACACCCACACAGACATTCACGTTTTGATTGCCTTTCAAATCAAAGCACACTTCTGCCACACAAACTCACTTGCGCGCGCAAACTATAATGAGTGGGTTGGGGTGGGGGTGGGGGGGGTTGCAGTTGCCAACCATACAGTGTGACTCTGAAGTGCTGAAAGGGTTGGCAGATTGAACAAGGTCAACATCTTTACACACACACACACACTTATCAATATGTGTGCGTTCGAAATGCCGCAAGCCACACGGAAACCTAGGTAGTTCAGAGTGCCTGAGAGACCAGGTAACGAAGAAGTGAGGAGGCGTCCGACCACAAATTCAGATGCCGAAGTTTAACATTCAAATCAAGTTCAAATCAGAAGTCAAAGATGAAACCCAAGTTCAATCGAGCGAAACGAGCGACAGGGACGACGTTCGACTCCAAGATACAAGCTAAGAAACCAGCAAAGTTGAAGAGAAAAGTCACAGCTTGTTGAGCAGGTACGTTTACAGCTCTTACCATTGGCCTCTTCGGTGGCCATCCACAAATGGTCAGAGGGATGGCCCCCTGCTTCATGAACGGAAGAGAGAAGAGAGGAGGAGACGAAGGAAAAGGAGAAGAAAGCGAGAGCTTCCACGTAATCCAGTGGGGGCTCACGTTTTGATTTCCTTTCAAAGCACACTTCTGCCACGCAAACTCACCTGCGCAAAGACACCGGAAACCTGAAGTTGATTTTGATTTATATAGTGGTGGAAAACACAAGTCCGGTAAACTCATGCAAGATGGTTCAGCATGGTTCAGCATGGGTGTGTTGCTTGTGCAGTGAACGTGTACAACCAGGACTGGAATTGCTTTGACATATGTCTCTCCGTGTCTTTGGAGACATGGATGCAAAAGAAGACGACCAATGAGTCACTCACGGACACCCTGTCTTCCGACTTGCCGACAACGTCTGTTGCTCAAATGCACCGTGAATCTTCTGAAAAATCGCAACAACCAAAATACACACGATCGGTCTAATAAAACAAAATCACAAATGTCAAGTGCACAAGCGACAAACAATTCAAGTCGACATGAATTTCAAGTGTACAAGCGATTGCTCGCCCTTCGTTGAAGGACACTGAGCACGCCACTACCCACACCCACTTTAATCAGCCCTTGAAGTACTTCTATAACTGTCCTTCACACAGAACCCAGGCCTACTCTTATCTGATGTCTTGTGGTGCGTTTGGGACTGTGAAGCCTTCCACCATCTTCCAACTTTGACCACCCGAAATCAATCACCCAAGGGGCCATAGATCTCCGTGTGGTTCACGCACTCGCGTGCCAGTATGCCCAGGTAGGGCCGGCAATTGCACTTCAGCGCTGCCCTCAGAGGGTGAGCTGCCAGAATGGTCTACAATACATCAACTCCAGCAGGAGTTGGGTATCTAGCACCAGAATGAGAATCCAGTTGCTTCCGAGTTCGCTAGCACAGCAACTGAACATGAAGCCTGGGTTGTTTCTGTTCCTTCCCAACAGGCACACCAAAGGCTGGCTGCGCTTGTAGACTATACTTACTATACGCGTACTTCTTTTGCGGGGGAAGTGGTATTCAGCCACTGCCACCTCTAGCCCGGTAGCGCCCTGCAAGGGAAATGCAATGAGATGGAAATTCCAATGCATTCAATTGTCTTAGTCCTAATTTATCTTCTTTCACAGAATCTCACCAACTCCCGGGAAATTTAGGAAATTGCCAAGCAACAGCTCCGTCCTGAATGGTGCGCAGCCCTTAGTTCTTTTGCTTGGAACGGTCGGCTTCGCCCAGCAACCAGGTGTGACCCTGTGATGCCCTGGAAGAGACCCACATGGAACCTGAAGACCACTGAAGAAAATCGCGCGAGATTGTTCGTCCGTCTCTAGGCGAAAAACGCCACAGCGAACAGCCAAGCCGTGGTGAAAGAATAAGGTCTTGGAAGTCCGGTCTATTTCAGGTTCCACGTTCATCTTCCCGGCCGGGTGCAACACCTTTGCGGCAAAGACGACAAAAGACGACATATCAGGTTCAGAGTTGCCGTCCAGCCCCCTCCGTTGTTGTGCATGGTTGTGATTGTGAGTTGCAAGTGTATCCCAAAACCGGTCGTGTCATGTTCAGCTGGTGCATGGGGTCATTGTATGTCATTGTTCGTTCATTGATGTAGGCACTTTTGCCCAACTGCTCAAGCCAAGCACAAGCCAAGCATAGACAGATTCAATACAAAGCATCCTCATGCTCAATCCGATGTATTGCGAAATCCTTGTTACTTAGCACCTCAAACGAGGAGTCAATCAAGCACCACCCACATGGAGGTGCATCACAAGTCTCACAATCTCACCCACCGAAAAACTGTCCAACTGTCATGAACACCAAATGGCAACATAAGTGTGAACAACGGTTCAACCTCTCTGCAGAGAATGAGCAAAGCCGTCACTGATCTTCAAGTTCTCTCCAAAGACCTATATGTGACTCGTGCGTAGTCTTCCGCCGTAGGCCCCACCACCAGTGTTGGAAAAGAAATTGTTGAGCAGTTTTGGGTCAACATCACGCAAAATCCGATAGTCCTACAGTTGGTGGACCCCCTTCCCTCTCAGCGTCCATCTGCTTCCATTTCCCTTTCCGTGGGCACAGTCCTCATGGATCGAGGAGCACAACGAAGGATGGAGCTCAAATCATCACCGCTGACCCCCACAACCGGTGGATTCATCCAAAAAGGGTCCATCAAAGCGAATGGGATTCTCAGATCAACCAGTGGATCTCGGTAGACCGCAGTGGATTTCTTCTTTGGAGCTCGGTCGGAGGCTTCGTGGAGCTCCGGGCGAGCGAGTGCGCCAGATCTTGTTTGAGCGAACGCATGCTTCGCGGGCGACATGACAACCACACACTCCTCAATCGCTCAGTTCTGCACAAAAAGGGCCGGGCTAGGTGCTCTTCCAATCAGGAACTTCCAGTCAGGAACTTCCAATCAGTCAACTCCCAAAACCGGGGGAGCCCTGTTCTGGATGTCCCACAGCTTCCAGGGGTGCTTGACATCTTAAGAACTTGGAATCGCATGGACGAGTGCGCACGCCAAGAACTCCGACGTTCAATGGCATGTGCCCAGCCCCTCCCAGTCCTTCTTTCTTCTCTCGGGCCTCCTGCGGGACTGGTTGGGAGATCGCACGGACACGCGGATCACGAAGAGACCGGAAGAGGTTGACTAAGAGACATCAGGATCAACATGTTTTCTCTCCTTCTCCTTCGGATCCTTAACCCCCAAAGTACTCTGGCAAAGCCCCCCCTGACTTCTACGGAAAACCGTAAGAATACAGAGCAAAAGGCCCGGCCGCTTCTTCCCCATGTTCTTCCAGATGAAAAAAAAAAAAAACTGCTCAGCAGTCGGCCCAGTCGGCCCCTTTTCGGCCGTCAGACGGGCCGTCAGACCGCTTTCGCGCCGTTGCCAGTGTGAAACGCTCCTCCAAGGCTCGCTGGAGACCCACTTTGAAGCTGTACTTGTCCTCCATCATTCGAAAGACATCCTCACCGATGGTCTTTCCACCGATGGTCGACACGGAGGACGATCCGTCAGACTGGGCGTGGTCTGGTGACGAACGCCGGGGGGTCCTCTGGTTCTCGTATCTGATGGGGTGACGAACGCTGGGTGGGAAGGCTGACGAAAAACATGTAGAATACAGCAAAATGCATATTATATCGTATTTTAATAACCCTCGTCTTTTTTGGACCCCGACCACCAAAACAGACGTGTCCAGGCCTCCTTCCTCGCACGAAAGAAACATACGATGTCGTCTTTCCCAGAAAGGGGGGAGTTTATGGGCGTGGTTCATCTCTCTTTGAGTTGCTCCCTGGTGCATGTACAAAGGATGTTCCAAAAAGTCAACTCTTCCCACGTGCCACAGTGAGGTTAAGCTTGGACTCACCAAATACCTGCACAAGTCCAAGAGAGACCACCCTTGAGCACCTCCAAACCCTTCTTCTGCAAGGGCTGCAGGATCTCTGTGTCATTCTCCTGCAGTCAAGGAGGCTTTCAGGACCTTTTGGCTTTCGCGTGTCAGCTTGGGTAAGTGATCTGTGCTGGACACCCTCCACATACAAAGCAGAAAGAAAGTAGCACATCTGCGCGCAAACCTGGGAGACGTGGAGTAATCTGCACAAGCAAAACAGCTAGGTATAGCAAACCCATCTGACCCCAAACAATCAATTATACATATACGTAGGATTACGTAGGCATAAAATCCTTATCTTCCCACTTCCTACGCTTCCTTTTCCAGCTTCTACTTCTGAAGCTGAATTGTCCAAAAGAAACCCTCCCTTATCCATGCAGGAGAACTTCACAGACCAACACGCACCCCCTGCAGTGGCTCGAACCTTTTTGTCATCTTGAGATCCCATCTCACATCTATTCTTGACCGGAGAAGGTGATGCGTTGAGCATGGTCATACTCCGAAAACACCTCACGTGACGGGTCCATTTTCAGGGTCGGCTCCCCACCCGTGGAACGGTTCTCCAAGGCGCCGCCCAGATGAGACCCTCACGCACCCCATGCACCCTGCTGGCAAGCCTGCGGCTCCACGGCCATGTGCCACAAAGCTAGGGCAGGATGGGAAGTCCATGCGAGGTCTGGTAAGTGGTTAGTTTCAAAAGAGGCATCAGAATCTATCTCAACCTCCACCTCTGTCGTGGGGAGGCCATTTCAACCTCTGCCCATCTCAACGATCAGCTCGGACGGCTCGGCTCACGGGTCTCCACCGGCGATGTGCGACCGCACTGCGTGAGGCGCCGAAGCATCCCACCGGTATCCACTGGTGCTCTAAAAGCATCCCCTTGCTAGAGGCTGGTTGAGATGGACAGTTCTCAAAAACACTCCATGGTCATCTACCAGCTTCTGTCAGCACATGATGACCATCTTCCGAAGTTTAATTTGTGTTTGGGGGTGAATTTTGGGCTGTCGGGATGCTCAGAAGTGCAAGCTGCTCTATCCAAATTGATCCAAATTGAGGGGCCAATGCTGGGACAGGTCAAAGTTGTCAGTGCTTGACATCTTCCATGCCATGCCCACCGCCCTGCAAAAAAGGACTCAAAGAGCCAAACAAATCCCTCGGCAACCTTCCCTTGCAGAACGAGGTGCTGGAGGAACAAAGCCCATTTGGCCTCAGATGGCTACAGTGTATGACATACTATGCGTTGCAACGCATCTTTTTGTGAGTATGAAGCACCCTAGGATACCCTAGGCCCTAGATGGAACCAAAAAGTGGATAGGGTCACAACTCTGACTGTCTGACTGTGAACAATGCAGATGTTGCTCCCTTCCTGGTTTGCATACTGGATGGTAGGGAGGAAAAATACCTTTGCCTGCCAACCTCTCTTCAACATGCCATGCAAAGCACAGACCCATACCGTACCCATACCGCACTATTTAAGCCAGAGGTCCCATGGCATTCCCACCAAGCTGCGCATATGAAACTGCGAGGCCGGGCACATGGCATGGCCACCTGCAGAAGGGCCTGACCCTTGAGCCAGTTGAGCAGCACGGAGCATGTCCTGTGCTGACTTGGCCCTTCCGGACCGAAGCTGAGCGGGGCAGACTGGGCTTCTCGCCAATGGCATTGCACAAAACCACCAGCTCTCCAAACGGTCATGATGTATTGGGGACTTCTGGCAAGCTCCAACTCACGCCAGGATACCGGTTGACCCACCGACGTCAAATCAAGCTTCCTGGAATTGGACCGGCTCCGCATGGCTCCGCGCGCCTCCCGCGCTGCCGGACCCCATGGAGCTGCCTCAAGCAGTATGAGCTGCCGAGGCGGAACATTGAGGCCCAAAACAGAACGTCATGAGAACATACATACTGTAGGTAGGGTAGGGTAGAGTAGGGTAGGGTTGTGATGTACTGTATTGTTTTGTAATGTACCGTACTGTATTGCATTGCAATTGTACAGTAATTGCAATTCAATGTAAACTTAAGTCCCGAACAATTCAACTGTCCCAACTGCTGGTGCGAACAGTTCACTGAAGCACCATGACTTCTTGAGACTCTGGGGCCTGCGGCTCTGTCCTACTCTCAAGGACTGGGTAGCCCGTATGAGGGAAGGCTTAAGAGTCTCCCCATGTTGGGACCTCAGCAGGTCTTGTTCACTAAGACTTAGCCTTGCTGAGTGGGCCTGATAGCAAAACCCGGCCTCGTGGTGCTGAAGGAGACCGCTCTGGGGGTGATACCCTTGTTACATACCGGACCTTGTTCGCAGGTGCCAATCCTAAAGCGCTGCGGCATCCATCATCCGTTACTCGGCATGGTGTGAGTGAAGTGTGTCTACATCGTATTCTACCAGGAAACGATCCATACATATCCAGAGCCCGATGCGGGGGTGGGAGCCTCAGTGGCTATGGCATCGGGTCTTTGGTTCTAGGAGTCCTGTATCAAGCAATAACTCATTTTGCAAGGGGCCAGCATGTTCCCCCATCAACATCATACCTAGCCTAGCACGCATAAATTTAAGAGCTTTCAGTACGTCATATTACGTCCACTTTCATCCGAATACGTGTAGGTCCCTTCGAGTCGAAGACTCCTGGACCGCTCTGGATCCCTCGACACCCTCGGCTTCGTCCGAGATCCGAGTCCACCAAAAACCGGGCTCCGAACCCCCGCCCGCCTGCTTTCGGGCTGCCAGAAGCACTTCTGGTCTCTTTCTCCGAGGACTTGAAGGTCAGCACCGATCCCTTGCCGTGCGTCCTCGCGGTCGGCCGCCAAGGGACGGAGGTGGAGAGGGTGGGACGGCGAGGCGGGAGTGGAACAAACGGGGATCGTCCGTACGGGTCGGGGTTCGGTGCGACCAGTTTGTTCAGAACCCAGTGTCCTCCTCCTAAACAAGGTGGACATATCATATCACATCTCAAAATTGAAAGATATTGAAAGTGTTGACTGACATGCATGACCAAAGTATATCAGTACATTATCCCAACCAAAATAATGACTCAATGTACTAATATACTAACTCACCTCAACATCTCCAACAGCGAAACCATCATAATCATGGTCAAAGACAAGCGCTGTTCACCTTCAGTCCCGACAGCCCCACCCGCTTCAGTGTTCCACTCACCGCGTCGCTCACCGGTGGGTGCCCGCTCCTGGGCGTGTCTTCCGTGTAAAGGAAGCGGCCAATCCCTTCTTCCTTGCCTCAGTGGGACAACAATGGGCACTGCGGGACGGGCGACCTGGGCACGAACGATCCATCAATCAACGACCAGAGTGGCCTTGTCGGTCCTTGACCAATCGAACCCCTACCATGTCCTAATCAGCCGACGGGTGTTAAACGCATGTAGCCGATTCGTAGTGCTTAACCAGCATGGCTTTGTGGATGAACTCGTCGCAGCTGTGCATATCGCCACGGATCCTGAAGCCGAGTGGAACACTCAGTGTCAAACTCTGCGTGCCTTCCTGAAACAAGCGGAAATGCTCCAGGTACGGCATAAAATTGTGCCTGGCACAGTTTCCCCGACAGGCTGCATTTTCTGGCGTGGCAAAACTTAGGCGAAGTGAGAAGCGAAATCGCACGATATGTTTTCTTGGCAACGCTCAGCGTCCCATGGTTGTTGCGTCGATGGCTTGAATTGACTCCACACAAACACACACAGCATCACACAGCTAATTTTCCGCAAGGCTGGATTCCAGAGACCACGCTTCAGGCACAACCAAATCATTGAGTACCACTACCAAGGACCAATGGGTCCGTACTGACCAAGTGGACTGAGGAAATACCATCCGCTGCCGTTGGATTCCGGAAGCGGTGCAGAACACGATCCATCAAGTTTCCCGTCTCTCACGTGACCTCATCTGAAGCTTCCAACCCTCGTTCTGCTTCAAGCACGCCAGACCTCAGCCCAGCATCTGTTGAAACTCATGTAACTCATGTACCATGGCACAGCTGTCTTCAATACTAGTAGGAAGGAACGCTAAAGGTTTGACGTTGGATTTTATTTTTTAAAATCCTTTCGAGCTGAGGTCATTTCTTTATTTTTGTCCAAACGACACTCTTGTGGGTCTCTCTTACGGGGCGCTCTTGTAGGACACTCTTGT